ACACCCCAATAACATACAACAGGGCATTAGGACCCTGCAGAGATCCCAATAACAAACAACACTGATGTTGTACAAGGGAATGGTTCTTAAATAACGTTGGAGACTAAAGTAAGCTCCACCCAATCTGATAATTGCATAAGGACTCGGGTGGTGAAAACGCAGAACAGTCTTGGATCTTAGAATAAACCAAAATACTGTGGGGAATCTGAAACAAACAGAGATCGAGCTGGAGAAATCCAACAGATCTGGCAGCGTCTGTGGAGAGAGAGAACAGTGTGATCACCTGGAGTTCTACCGAAGGGTCAATGGACCCGAAACATTAACTCTGCTTTCTCTCTCCGTAGATACTGCCAGACCTGCTCAGTTTCAGCTCTGCTTGTGGCCAGTGGAGACCCATAGATTTTCCCTCACCGACCTCCTCAGGCCTGTTATTACACTCCTCAGGAGCAGGTGGGAGTGGCACCGAGGCCTCCTGGCTCAGAAGTGGGGTCACTACCACCGCGCCACAAAGTGGATAGCTTTATCCCAAGCCTCCTCATATTCTGAGTCTCAATGTCTCGAGCTTATTAACGTAACCAATTTGTGATTGCTGATGTGAAATAGGGCTGCACAGTGGCTCAATGCTGTTGCCTCACGGCGCCAGGGACCTGGGTTCGATCCCACCCTCGGGCGACTGTCCGTGCAGATTGTGCACATTCTCCCCGTGTCTGTGTGGGCTTCCTTCCACAATCCAGATTAGGTGGATTGGCCATGGAAAATGCAAGGATAAGGCAGGGGTGTAGGATGCTCTTTAGAGGGTTGGTGCAGACTCGCTGGGCTGAATGGCCTGCTCCCACACTGTAGGGATTCCATGAATAAACTTCTCCTTAAGATTCAGTTGATGTCAGCAGATGACTCCAACCCCAAACTAATACTGAAACACATACAAACAGTTGAGTCCCTGTATCTACTACACACAGGGACTACAGATTATGCCATCTCCTCCCCCTTACTTAATCTTTACACTACCCCGTGCAGAGTTTACAGGAGAGACTGGAATATTCTGAAGTAAATAGCAGGTTATCGCAGATTCATTAATCAGAGATGGGGTAAAGTAGCAGAGGGGTCCTTGGTTAGAGAGAGAGAGTGTGTTAAGAATTATTAGATGCTGGGTGAAGAGCTCAGTCCTAGTATATTGATACTTACATTTCAATTTCTGGGGAAAATCAGCAGAACACAGGAATATTAGTGGGACAGCAGGAGGCAAGAGCAATTTAATTTCTTCACCTAAAGAGACAGTACTGCAGTGTCCACTGGGTGGGTTTTACAGATTTCAGGAGCTGAGATAGTGGGCTGAATGGCCTCCCACTATGTAATACGATTCTATCACCTCATCTACATAAAATCATTTGTTAAAATTTTGCATGGGCAGCGCTCACTGTTGTCGCTACCTCTGATCAGCAACTTACAACAACACAGAAACAGCCTTTGTAAACTCTTCAGAATGGGAAGTCCATGTGGAACAATTGGTTGTGACAATGTTGTTGTGGGTTGTGGCCAGTAGGGAGAGCCCTGGCAGTGAGTATCCGAGTTCCTCCTGACTCCCTGCACCATCTTTTGGCAAATCTAAACCGAGTTTTTTCAAAAATATAATACCAAAACCAGGTCTTTATTACTTGATGCAAATGGATACACTAATCAGAATTTAAATTCAAATTCTTTTGGAAAAGGCTGCTTTGAGTTTTTTTTTCAATAGATAGGGTCAAGGGGTGGATTTCTGGCATAATAGGCTAATTTTTTTTTAAATTTATTTGCAGGATGAGGGCATTGCTGGCTAGGCCACAGCATTAACTCCATCCCCATCCAACCGCAGTTAAGAATCAATCACATTGCTATGGGACTGGAGTCACACGTAGGCCAGACCAGGTAAAGACAGCAGATTTCCTCCCCTGAAGGACATTAGTGAACCAGATGTCTTTCCCCCCCCAGCCTGCAACAATTGTCAATAGTTTCACAGTCATTGTTAGATCTGGATTCTAGATTTTATTGAATTCAAATCTCACCATCTGCCAGAGCGAGATTTGAACCCAGGTCCTCACAGAACATGACCTGGGTCTCTGTAACGATCGTTGAACGATAATGGCATTATACCATCTCCTCCCCCTTATTTAATCTTTACACTACCCCGTGCAGAGATCCAACTGCCCTCAAAGATATCAAACTTAGAATCTGTCAAGAATGTGTTGGACTGGTACAAGTGTCAGTCTAATATAAAGGTGCTCAGTATTCAGCAGGGAACTGAGTTAGTGTTTTACTGACTGACAGGCATCTCCAGGCTGAGAGGGGTGCTACAGGAATGCAAGATCTTTGTTTCCAATTCAGTTTGCCTCACCTCCCAATAGTGAACCTGACAGGCATCAGGAACCACTGCAGTTCTGGGACTGCTCTCAAACTGAAGCTCCCCGAGAACCTTTCAGAGGCCTCGACTGGTGGATACTGTCTCTTTAAGATCCGAGGTGTGTGTTTCGTACAGGCAAACCAAACACAAGCTTGCAACCAGCAGGAGGTATGGGGAGTGGAAGCGGGTGGAGCCAAGGGAAGCTCAGCTGGGCAGTGAAGAGGTGTAGAGGTGGTAGAAGGGCTGAAGCTAATTGTCTAAACCAAACCTCGATCCGTCTGGTGGCACTGACTTCCCAAATCTGATAGGCAACTTGCGCAGCCTCGGGGAAGAATTCACCTGCGGCACTGCAACATCAAGCAAACAGTACGTTGTGATAACGCCCAGGAAAGGAACAGCGCTCCGAAGATAATTGAGGGAACACTAGTGGGCGTGTGTAATGATTGATCCCAAAGTGAGCTCCTAACAACATGATTCCATCATCACCCCAAGAATTCCATCTTCGTAACATCGCCCTGTCACTGCTCACCAGCTCCTGGTACCCTAATCCCAGCCTCTGCTGACTCTAGAAGTGACTATTTTCTGCACAGCCTCTCATAGTCCAAACTTCAAATCCCTAACCTCATCCCATAACCCACGGCCTGCCTGGATTTTAACAACCTACCAAGTCACACATGCCCATCGCCCACACTCCCTGATGCAGCAACTCATCGATATTCAAACCTTCATCCTCATCTTCTGTGGCCTCACCTCTTACCAGTAGTGCATCTGTAATTTCAATCAGACTATCCCACCCCAACCCCAATCTAACCCCAACTCAGTGAAATCACCCAGCTCCAACAGAATATAAGTCAATCCAGCAGGAGGTGGCGAAAGCCAAGGGGAGAATTTAGTCTGATGATGAAAACTCTAGATTATTACTTTCCTGCAAAGGTAGGAGTATAGGACAAGGGGAAGGCCATTCTGCCCCTCAAGCCTAATCAAGCATTTAAGAAGATCATCGTCCAACTGTATCTTAACTCCAACCTGTTTTGGTTGTGAAACAGTTAATAACATTTCCAAGCGTAAATGCGTTGATCTCAATGTTGAAACGTTCTTTTGACCCTCATCTCTCAACTTCTTGGGGTCAATCTTCCAGGTTTCCATTGGTCTGAAGAAACCCCTTGTATGGTCCAGCTCTATCTAATTTTAAAGGGCTGCTACCTTTCTAGATCTAGTACACCAGAGGAGATAGGTGAGACAGACAGAACCTACCAACCCCTCAGAGCTGCCTCTTCCCCTTTGAGCGGATGTTATATCGGTAACGTTTCCCAGGGGTTGATTAACTGCATACCCAGTCCTAATATCCTAATAAATGGATTGTAAATGGTCTCGGTATTAAGGAGATGTGAGAGACTGTGAATTATACTGCGCTGACCTCTGTTCCTCACACAGGAGGAAGGGGAACACTTACTCATCGTCTCCTCCACATAGACGCAGCAGAGCTCGCTTGTAATCTCCGGAGGTGTCACTCTGAAAGGAACAGCACAGCAGTCACCTAGGTTGTATGTCAATGTAGTACAGGCCATTATTGCCCGTGGCCTCTCACAATTCATCTTCCTCGCAGCAATGAGGGTAACTGCTGCATTCCGTGTTCTCCCTCCCCACCAGCCTATCCCCTCCCTCCCTCCTACAATGAGGTGGTATCTTTACCTGCCAGCTACACCTATCCTAGCATGGTCTGCCAATTCCAGACCACCTCTGCCGTGTGCCCTCATTCTTGGCCAATGTGGGAGCTGCCCAGTGGAGGTGAGGAGGGTGAGGCAGCTTCACTTGGTCACTCAGGGATAAGCCCCAGGTCAGTGGCTGTCAATTACCCCCGAGGGTGTGAACCGACTGGTCGAGGGTGTGAACCGACTGGTCACGTGCCCAAACCTCCCAAGTGACAGGCAGCGCGTTTGTGAAGGGGCCTGGGGCTTGAGCCTGGTCATGTCCTCACCTCACAGCATGCAGACAGTCGCAGGTACCCCCACTCCCACCCCCT